TCATCACTCACTCATCTGCTGGTGGACTGCAGGAGGAGCATATATAACATACTTGTTTATGGGCAAGTTATATCATTGTATGCCAATATGATGCATTCACCGCAGCTCAGAAAAGGCTGCGGATAAAATATTTAATTTGCATATTTTACTATACTGTAGGTGTTTGCTTGAATATAAAAGACATATTTAATAGTGTTGCTAAAATGTATTCCTACAAAAACTAGTAAGTATCAGTGGCGGATTTAGGATCGTAGGAGATCCGTGGCTTAGCATGCTCATGAACTGTGAACTCGCCGGAGCCTCGCTGCTGGACCATATTGTGGCAGCTGGGCTTCACGCAAACGAAGGATCACTTCTTCTTCAGGGCAGGGAAGGCTACGCAGTACGCAGGCTACTGTCCCGCAGCTGCTGCCTCTCTGTTGGACTCCGGTACTGCAAATTACTCACGAGACATTTAGTGCAAAAAAACATCCGGGGCTTGAGCCCAAGTAGCCACCCCCTAGCGCCGCCACTGGTAAGTATGTGTCGCTGTATACTGCTTTTTCTCATTTATTGATGAATTTGCATAACAGCTTTACGTAGTGCTTGCTGCGTTTACATGATACATTACTCTTAGCTGAGGGTTTTGTCATGTGATACCAAATCAATGAAAGCAGCAGAAAAGCCGACCAACAAAAGTCCATAAATGACAAGCTTGAACTCTCCTTATGCCAATGTCCAATTAGTAAAGATAAAAGAAGTCTAAACTATCTTCCTAAGTGTTTGACTCGCATCACCAATCAGTGTGGGAGCCTGCAAGCTGAGACTGGTTGTAAGCAGACACTTGCTCATATGCAAAGAAGCTGTGCGTGCTGTTCTGGAAGTCAAATCATTAGTCAAACCAAAAACCATTTGAGCATCAGCAGCCTGAAAAACATCTGTCATCAACAAGGTTCGGAGAAAGAGGAGGAAATGTACGACAAGGCTGAGATGACAGGAGAACATGTGGATAGTGTCAGCTCACAAAGTGATGTCCCAGTACAATAACAGGATGTTAAAGGAAACATCTCCAAAACCAATACAAACCATATCTGAGTATTGATCTCCAGGAATCATTAGGCGTGACTGGCAGCACAGTGTGCCATGAAGTTACTCTGTAACTTCTCCAGTCTGTGCTCCGTCTAACAGGAAACCTCTCGCTGATTTAACGACAAAATAATCTGGAAATAGGTTTCATATTAGTTACTTATTCTGCCATTACTGCTGACGTACATGAGCGGATTAATTCCAGAATAAAACATGCATTGTTTGGAAGAAGAGTAGGATAAAAAGATGGACTCAGCCTTCACCAAACTTTGATGAGCAGCTCAACTTCAGTCACAAAGAGATGATGTTTGTAAATGTTGGTTCTGTACTTTTGAATTAAAAAGCAAGTCTGTAAGTAATGGAAGAAATTGATTCATATCATAGGTATATGAAACCTAACTGGTTTGAAAACATCTCGCCAAGAGACTTCAGAAACATCGCAGAAAAAACAACCCTAACACCAATTTATTAATGCTACCTCTGCACTACACAATAAACTCTGATTACTTCAGTGTTTCCCACAGAATTTGATTCTATCTGTGGGGACACCGCTCAAATAAGAAAATACATGCGAGTACATGCGTAGACAACGTTCTTGTTGCTCTGTTTGGCGTTGTTAATGAGTGAGACACACCAGAGTTGAGGATCTGTGGGGTTTATACTCCCAAAAATATAATTTAGGCATTTAGCAGACGCCTTATTCCAAAGCGACTTCCAATGACCAATTACAGGGACATTCTCCCTGGAGTAACTAAGGGCTTACTCAAGGGCACACTAGTAGTGGTGTTCCAGGCGGGATTTGAACTCGCAACCTTCTGATCATCAGCCCCCCTCACTATCCATTATTAGACCACCAAAAAAAAACACTAACTTGTTCTGATCAATGGCCTTGGACCGTTTCTCTTTGCTCAATTAACGCTTAGCGTCTTTTAGCACACTGTTTTGTTTGAGCTACCTGCCACTTTAAAGTTTCGCTTTCTATGCTCTCAACAACCTTATGTGCCCCGCACCACATGGCAGGCATACAAGTTGGTCAACATATCTGCATTTAGCAGTCAAAGAGTTGTCTTTAAACAAAGTGGAAAATGTCAATGCTAGGTTTACAGCTTGTTACGCTGCACCCAAGTTGCATGAAAATCAATACATGCAAGGTTTGAAAACACACTTCACACTAATATCTCGTCATCTTCTGAGGATTGAAACACTTCATCAGCCCTCTCAAACACTTTGGCACTCATTTAAGATCAGTGAGTTCATTTCTGGACTGTTTTTTTCAGCATCAAAAGAAAGCCTTTGGCACGATAATAAAACAACACTGGAGAGAACCAAAGACGTGCAGGTGGCGAGTGTTTGAGGAGCCTCACAGCCTTTCACTGCTGCCGAGACTTTCTCATGAGGTCGGCCTCTACCATCCTGCTCTCTGCCTGGAGGCGGCCTGCGTGTATGCGGGCCCTGCTCAGACAGGTCGAGCCGCATACTGCTGTCACGACACTGCTCAGTTTAGCACTCATTAAAACGCCAACACAATGACACAAACACATGTCTCAGAGAGGGGGAAAAGACGAGAAGCAGACTTATTTTTTACTTTCTCTTGTGCATTACTGGAATGGGATACCCTGTGTTTAAAATAAAAGTATAGTCAGGAGGATACAACGGAGAGTGAGGTGAAAGAAACACAGACAGTGACCTGACTTATTTGTGAGGAATGTGTTTAAGAAACCATCTTCATGCACATTCATGGTGAATCAGGAGCACATAAGGTGAACCCAGTCACGCTTTATATTTGCCCGAGGGGCGACTATTTCACTTAACTCGGCTGCTTTGTTCTTGGCATGTTTTGAATAACATCAAGCACGGCACGTCACAGCAAGGGGAAAACAGATGAACAAGCTGTTGACTGGTTGCCATCTTGTCTTGAGAAAAACCTCAAATCAAACAACAAAAGGGATATTTTGTAGATAATATCACGTGATGTTTTTATGTGAAATATGAACTTGTAAGTTGCTTTATTTGACGCAACCTTTGCTGACTGTCATGCAAAAGAAGACAGAGATTTGTCTTATGATGCTATAGTCAATGATTTACTATAAAAACCTGCACGGTTGAGCTCTAATCAGACTGCATTTTATTGTAATTCATTCCCACAAGCGCACATAAGGCCATAAAATACCTCTTCCTGTTTATGACAATCATTGTGGTCTACATGTATCTGCAGACAGTGAAACAGTGTTTGACACAAAACATACTATGCAAAGTTGAAGACAAAATAACTAAGGAGGCTTTGTTGTATTGACAGAAGGGCAGGTTACATTAGTATACTTGTTTATGATGTTTGCACATACATAAAAGTTATGTAGAAGATTAATCCTATTGAGTTTAATTTCAGTTCAACTGCTGCTAGACGTTGGTTAGCTTCTACCATCGCACCTGTCACGTTGACAATGCCAATAAAGTCTGTTCAAAACAGCCACAGCATGTGACCACTCCATGTTTGCATAAAAACCAACAGCATGAGTCCACACACACAAAAATAATCTCTCATATCCCCATGCATCTGCACAAATATAAAGGACGCTCCAAGAGTGAACAAACCCATCTAATCCACAGGGGGTCTCTCATGTGGGAAAAGCCCTCAGGATCTAACGCCTGGCAGCAAACCAAACTCAGCACCGCACGAAGGCTTCTGGTTTCTGTTGTGACCTGCGTAAAATCCACAGCCATTATACTTTAATGCAGCTGTCATGTCTCTGCTGTGAGCCGCTGTTCATGTGTAACATTGGTGGGGTGGTCCAAAAGCGTTATTATTTATTTTGTACGAATAGCTTTTTTCCCATTTTCAGACACAATCCTCCGCTAAAATATGGCATGAGTTACTTCCTGAAATGTGCAGGCTTCTGGCATCAGATTGAGAAATATGTACTATCTTGGACCAACAGATCTACAGAGGAATGATGGATGGAGAGAAAATGACATTTAGCACACGTGTCTAAAATTCAACCTGATTTTCCATCATGTGATCAAACCCCATGACTGCACAGCCTCTGCAGGTCGGGAAGTGAGCAAGAAACCACATGTACCTCCGCTCCAATAGGACCAAGCTGTGTGTGTGTAGTAATCAACAAAAAAAAAGGCCAGTAGGGTATTTACTTCACAATAAGGACTGCAACTAATGATTAGTTTTTTAATGTTGGAAAATAGAGAAAAATGTCCATCTCAGTTCCTCAAAGACCAAGGAGATGTCTTTAAATATCTTGTTTCCTCAGTCCAAAATCCAAAGATCTTCACTGTATATGATAGAAATCAAAGAAAAACAGGAAATGTTCTAATTTGAGAGGCTCAAACTGCACTTTCCTACATTGTAATATATTTTAATGTCAAGCTACTAATCGTTGCAGCTCTATTCACAATGCATTCATATATCTCGACACATTAGGAATAAAAACCCTACAACTACAATAAGCTTGTAACATCAGGCCTATGTAATTACATAGCATATTTTGTATGAATTCAATCAATGTAAGTGTTTTGTGAGTGTTTGTTAATGGAATTATATTTAAAAAGTCTTAAAAAACAACTTCAAGCTACTAAAATCAACCTTCATTACATTACAGAACTATAAATAAAGTTACATTTGAATCATTTGTAGAGCAGTGCTGCTACTATAGTTGCACTAAACAGCTCCCAGGCGAACTTTACCTGCTTTTTCTAACATGTCAGGTGTGTGTGAAGGACTTTAACCTGCCTGTACAGGTGAGCTGATACCTTCCCCAGGTAAAAGCAGCCTGGTAGATTTAAAGAATTGCACAGCGTTGTGTCTAATCAAAACTACTTCTAACAGAGCCTGCATCAACACTGCCTGTTAAAGCATTGGAGGGAAAATGAATAAAAGACCCGGGAAGCCCGGCCCTCCCTAGCGGGTCGGTGGAGATTCTCACCCCGGGTTTGACGTCCTCAAACACGGCCGCTTCCTCAACGCCATCCGCTGCAGGCATCCTCACCGGCTTCAGCTGCGTGAAAACAGCCCTTTCGTCTGTCGTATGCGGCGGATTCATCGCCAGTCCTACCATCGCTGCCATTATATTTAATCTCTTATACAATATATATCTTATTCTGAATTTAGGTTATAAGAATAGGAAGAGTTATGACTGATAAATGCGTCTTTTGTTAGACTAAATGCTACGTATTCCAAAGCCCTCCCCTCTGTTCTGGCGCACAGGTAGGTTTTTACCTGAGCTCAAGTATGGACCTGCTACCTGCAGGAGACGGTCCACACACAGCACAACCAATGAAAACAGAGGATGAGTATGTGGTCCAATCAGCTGCGAGGAGGAAGGCGGGACTCACCTGAGAGAATCCGGAAATAAGGGAAAACAACTGGAAGGCATCATCTCTCTCTCTCTCTCTCTCTCCTCTCCTCTCTATATATCTCTCTATCCTACCTCTCTCTCCGATCTCTCTCTCTCTCTCTCTCTCTCTCTCTCTCTCTCTCACCTCTCACTCTCCCCCCCCCTCTCACTCTCACTCACTCACACACACACACACAAGACCACCAACACACACACACACACACACACACACACACACACACACACACACACTCACTTGATTTATACAGTCATGAAAGTAAAATCACTAAAGAAAATATTAAAGAAACATAATTTATAGAATTTCTAAAAATACAATAAAATATCAAATCAAATTATAAACTGAATATTCTGATTTGTCTTCCCTCCCTCTGTTGAAAGCATGCCAAAAGTAGCCTAGCTATTGTTTGTTTAACGTTATAATAAAGTCTGCCATCTTTTTGGTGATTTTTGCAATACTGTATTTCCCATATATGAGTCACGCTCATTACGTTTACTTGAGACCTTGGACACAATAAAACCTATTCTATTCACCAATATCCTGGTGAAATAGTGGAATTAGCAGGTCAAATGACGGATGGAGCAGACAATACATCTTGATAGACTTTTGTGGCTGTAGCCTAGAAATCTGTATTGTTTTGCAAATCTGCCAAGTTGATAAGTTGGATAATCATTATGGGCAACTGAACACACAGGAAATGGCTGCATTTCATTGCATGTTACAACAAATTCAACAAATTATTGAGCTGTAGTCATGGTGAGTAACAGCAGCACAAAAAAGGGATTTAATAGTGATTTAAGATACAGATATAAAGACAAATATAACGCGTGTGATCTGTGTTAAGGCATGCCTGAGTTAGAAAATCCGTCAAATAAACGTGTGTTGAGTTGAAAGAAGTCCAATAAAGATGATTTGAAAGAAACACGTTTTTCCGACAGGTCAGTGCTTTAAAGCAGACGTATTCATCCCTGATACTCAACATTTAAATTTGTCTTCCATTGTTTTTCATGGACATTTTTGAGCCTTTCATTGAATAATATATTTTCTCCAGTTTGAGAATGACAATGGCATCTTTAAGGCCTTGTGATATAGATACTGTTGGCGAAGTTCCAATGTAAGAGTCTGGCTATGAAGGATGAATCAGGATAAACTTGAAGAAAATTACTATGTGTGTTTATATGCGTCTGCCCTCCATTATCTCCCTCACAGTGTACATGCTTATTTATCTTTAACAAAGGAAGGAATTGCATGCTTCAAAAAGCATTTTGCTTTTATAACGAACCACGCCCCTACGTGGGAAACAGAAATAGACTTCAGATATAGAGTGATGCTGTGTCTCAATACTTCGGTTATACATTTGCTATTTTGAGTCATTCTAATCCAAAGTATAGAAAAATGCACTTGGAGTTCCCAGATGGTACATAACATAACAAAGTTGAGTGTGAAACTCTTGACACATCTAGCTAGCTAACAATTCTAACATAGCTAACGTAGCTAGCAAGCTATGTTATAGCTCACTGTTGCTATCGGCAGCAGTCGTCACTTGGTGAGGGCAAAGCCGCTGTATGAGATTTGAGACAATGTTACGTAGTTGCAAAGTGGTTTTTCACAGTATAACCTGACAGGGTAAGAAGGGAAGTATCTGAATTGAAACACAGCATAAGATGAGCAACATTCCAACCAACATTCACTGCATAGCTCGTAGCAGCGATGAGACAGTAGTGACACAACATGCTTCTTTTTAGAATTAACGGATAAAATGACAAAGATTTCAACACTTGTTCCAGCTGCTCCTGCCCTCTTTACCTGCAACAAAAATGTATGACAATTACTTATTTCTGGCTAGATTTGTGGACTTTTGGTGCGTTCACATCTGTAGTTTGGTTAATTTAGTTCACCTATTGAAAACAAAAAATATGTATCAATGCATTTTGTTCACACTGGCGTCGCATTCACCTATAGTCCGCTTCTCTGCTGCGAACCAGACGACAGTTTGTTACATTGTTTCATTTTTCAGAAGGTTCGGTTTGCGTTCACACGGGCAAAACTCAAACGGACTATAAACTTTAAACACAAGTCATGTGCACGGAAATGCTGTTCAACCATTGGTCAGACATTAAGGGGGTAAAAACGCAAATCCCGGCAATTTCTACCGGCGCCTCCGCCATGGAGCGTCGGCCGGTTATTCTCATGCTGTTGTTAATCTGGAGAGCATATCAACAGCGCATATGATTATATAATCAGACAACGTGCGATACAAAACATTATAACACATATAATGAGAGACGTTCTGCAGTAAGGAGGGGCGTTTCACAGACGGCAGGTGGCTCTGACTTTTATGTATAGTTTTTAGTTTGATAGTTGTTTTTACTTTACACGACACTGTTCAACACTTCATTCTGCTTCACTCTTTCGCTAACGATTTTGAAGACACCCGCGTTCTTGTGACACGTAAATACTACGCTTCCTATGTTTTGGTGCGGACTGCGTTCACACCAGCGATGAACCGCTCCAGAGTTCACTAGCAAGCGGTCCGAGACCACCTCTTTTAGGCGGACCAGAGTCCGGTTGTTTAGTTCATTTCAGAGGTCTCGGACCGCGTTCACACCGACCCAAATTAACCACACCAAGCGGCTAAACGCACCAGGGTTCGATTCAACCGGACTATAAAAGGCTGGTGTGAATGCGACCTTAGATACAAACCGCGAGGAGTAAACAGACAAGTAACTGTGATAGTTTGGGGAATTGTGTTCCTGCTTCATCATGGTCCACGTTGGAGTAACATTCAGGTGACTGACAGAAGTTTATGCAGCTCTGTAAGGCTATTGATTACTCATTATTAGACTGCTTTCAGGACAATCGCTCAGATGTCACAATCAGCAGAAGGATTTATTGGTAGTTTGGCTTTGAATAATGCTAAAAATCTCATAGCTGGTATCATAAAAAGCATTGCTGATTTGTTTGCTTCCACACCACAAACAAACCGCACCAGAGGAAGTGAAATTAGAGACTCTTCTTTTCAGGAGTTTGTTTTAAATGAACCGATAAGATCAGGTGTACGACGCCGGAATGTCATTTGTGTTACCTTTATTCTTACGAAGTGATGATTCACTTGTCAAACCTGATTGGAACAGTTTGTTAGCTCAGGAGTTAAAACATACCACTGGGGCGTTACTTTCTCTCGATCGCATCAGTTCACTTCTGTCAAACTCAAGCGGGCCTGTGTGTAATTCTAAACCGTGAGAAAATTCGGTATGGAGGGACTATGTTTTTATTTGATATAATAATAACTTCTCTGGTCTAGTTTGTCTCATTGGTTGGCCTGCATATTTGCACAGTGTTATTATACCAGAGGGGAGAATGAGAAGCTGTGCTAAAGAGATGGCAGATTGCCATGAGCAGCCTAAGCAACTGTCACTTTCCAGGAAACAGTTATTGTAGCAGGAAATAATGGGTATCTTTTCTTATTGAAACAAAACAACGATTTGTTAATCTATCTTTCAATACTTTGTGACTTCCCTAACCTTGTTGGGATGCCTTCACCATCGCAAATACGGCTAAGGCATTTTTCAGATTGCGAAGAAATAAGGATGTTTGTTAATTAAAGGTGAAATGAGGCACTTGTAACCTCCGTGCATTATTTGTAAACAGTAACTTGGTAACGGCTGCTGAAACAGTCAGGCTAAAATTATTTTACCCAGGACAAGGAGTGGCTTCTGAGAGCTTTGTCCATCTAGAAATGTTTTACTAAGATTTTCTAAGAACTCCTTTGTAAGCTCTCTGCACTGATTTAGTCTATTCTTTATGGAGAAGCAGAGTGGAGCCATAGAACCAGATCGCAGCAACATTTTTGATGATTAAGATTTAATTACAGGTCTTAAAATTGGCTCATTTTTGTATTGAGTTAACATAATAATACCATGCGGAATTACTTTAAAATAATACTCCACCCAGAGTCTTTCAGCATGAAGCACTCACTCCCTGCATGCTTAAAATAATGGCTGTTAAAAGTTTGTGTTTGCTCATTCATAAAGAATTCTCAAACCACACCTGCAGCACCGTCTACTTCTTCATTCTTCATCCATACGCATTCGGTTTCTTCTTCATTTGACTTAATATTGCTGCAAGCTTCAGTTAATGATACACAAAAAGCCCAGAGGCCAATATGTCTTTCTCCTTTTTGATTAACTGATGTCGTTCTTCTGTTGTAAATCTGTTGACTCCCAATTTGGCCTAAATCCAGTGTCTAATGGAGCGTTAACATCAAACTTCAAACACATTTTCATCTCGTAAAAAAATCAGAGTGAACACAGTGTACCATGACTACATGGTGAATCAGGTTTAAATAATGCACTTGGTTCCAACTGAGACGACAATAATGAATAAAATATCAGACATTAAAGGGGACCTATCATGCAAAATGCACTTTTGTACGTCTTTTCTACATGAATATGTGTCCCCGGTGTTCCAGGGAACTCACCAAGTGTCAGAAAACACAACCCTCTCTATTTTCCTCCATACCCAAATCTCTAAAAAAGGGGCTGATAACGGATCTGATAAAAACTGATCCAGATTTGAACACTGTCCTGACGTCAGGACGGTGGCGCTACGGTTATTGGGCCAACTCCACCAATCAGGAGGAGACAGCCACGGCCATTGCCGTTCGAAAGCGCTGGAGACGCTGTAGTACATATGCCAGGCCTGTAGGTGGTGCTGTTCTCACTGAATCTGCCCTTGCAGAGCAGAGCTAAAAAATGTCAAATTGAGCGAAATGAGGCATGGCTAAAATGCATGATCTGCTTGGTATTTTGAAAAGAAAAAAGTATAAATATGCCTTA